GATAGTTATCCACGGCTCGTTTGCTTCCCTTTTTGTGGACAGGAAACATGTGTGCATATTTCCAGGAGGATGGAAATATACCACTGGAGAGAGAGACATACGGAATAGACGGTGAAGTGGAGTTAACAAGCAAGCAATATGTTTCTTCAAAAACACGGACGGAACTCCATCGGGTCCAGGGTTGAAGGACGATTTGAGCTGCGTTGCAGCGTTAGAAATCATCTCAACGTTGACATCAATTGCACCCAGCGTTTGACCATTTAGTGGGATGTTCCTGGCTGCGAGGGAAACATGGTCGTCACTTAGTCTCTCATCAGTGAACACACTGGCAAAATTGACAGAAAAAAGGCGACAAATATCCTGCGGAGTGGAAGCGACTTCACTGTTCAATTCCATTGACGATGGGAGGCCAGATTCTCTGCGTTGCTTGTTCACGTAGTTCCAGAAGGATTTCGGGTGTAGTTTAAGGTTACGCTGAATACCTCGTTGAAATCGCAGAAAGCATCGACGACTGGCTCGCTGATACTCGTGATCAAGCCTCACGTAGTGATGTTTCAGAGGAAGCGTGCGATACTTCGTAAATCTTCTCAATGCTGCTCTCTTGGTCGACTTCAACCTACGCAGCTCAATCGTCTGCCAGGGAGGGTGAGAGTATTCGTGTTGAATTCTTTTCGGGACGTGTCTGTCAATGACATATGCCAAGACATGGGAAAAAGTTTGCGCAGGGGCCTCAACGTCGTCATGATCGAGAATTTTCTCCCAGTCCATGTTTGACAACACATCTACAATGCTTCGATGGTCGGCCTTTCGAAAGTCATTAGAAATCAAAATCACGAACGAGATTGTCCTTGTCGCCGCCTTTAGCTACTTTCTTCTCCGGTTAGGGAGAGTCTTTCGCTTTCAGGTCAGACACTGTTTCTCGATTCTAGGAGCTACTTTTTTCCCCGGTTAAGGAGAGAAGTTTTCACTTCTAGGCCGAAAGTTCTTTCGGATTCAAAAAAGAGAAGAATCTGGAGTAACCTATGAAACTTAATTTTATTCAACAAAATTGTACAAAGTGATCTTACAGCTACGTGTTGCATTAGCAACTTATAATTATGTAAAACTTTTACTTGGTTCGTCCAGGGTTTTACATATCCCTTTCAATACCGGACTTTTGACCTAATTTTGCCTATTCTATTAGTTAGGATTTCGATCGCCCTTGAAAGGGTAAATTTGTGTTATTTGGATCTTATATACTATGCCCTCTCAGATCTGGGATTTCTTGGGTTATCTTGTAAGTTTATTTCTTTTTGTAACTCAGATCTGATATGGCTCTACAAATAAGAATGAGACATTTGTAACGTTTAAACATTATAATTATATCCTTCGTTAAGGATAAACAGAGAGGGAAAGCTAAACGTAACCTAGATGCGCAAGCATGCCATGCGTGGGCGTGTTTATCCTACTTGAACGCAGAAACGTTCCTAAGTAAATACTGCAGTTAGATTATGTAAAACGAGCTCTCGCTCCTTTTGCCCTACTTTTCATTTCATATTCTTGGCCTTGGTATCAACGTCAGCTAGGGCTATGCAAACGAGATGCAACTATGTGGTTATCTTATGGTTTTGGTTTTAAATTAATTGCCTCGCGGTAACAGTCCTCAACAGTGACAATCAGAGGAGGGTGGTGCGGAACAAGCTTAACTAGTGGACAAGGTGCTGTGGAAAAAAACGGAGCATTGTCCTGAGTGCTCACGAAGCAGAGGTCCAAACTACGGTTGTTCTCGTTGACTACGTGGTTAATTTGAGAAAGCGTTGCTACGCTATACTGCCGCTCTTCGCATGTCGGTCACATGGCAAAAATCAGCAAGCCGAGAAAATCGCATTTTTAGCTTGATTCGTACCATTGCTTCTTATGTGATGAGACAACCAATTTGACTGTCTTTCCAAACTTTTTCAGAACAAAGTTATTGAGTTCATCCAGTATTAAGAAAATATGAGTGATCAGCTACCATTTGCATTGTAAAACTCAGTTTTGACAAAAACTGCTATGGGACCGACATGCGAAGAGCGGCAGTATAGTTATCGAGAAGACCGATAGCTCCTGCATGAAATACAGAACGATCTGGATCTGGAAAGAGGAAGCCGCTATGGGATGGTCTCCACGAAACGCCTGCTAGGTTAAAGTCCCCAAAAATGAATAGCTCATCAATTGGAGTCGCTCTTTCCATTACTGTGAAGACTGATTGACAGTGAGTCTCGATGAGTTCAAGATCACGAACTCGATCTGGAGGCATGTACAATGCGCACAAAAATAATGTGCGATCGCCCAGTTTAATGGCTGTCCAAACCTGTTCCACACTGTTCCACGATTCATTTTCGATTGCTCTCGCCTCCAATCCGGAACGGACAGCCACAAGAACGCCACCACCAGTAGGTTTTCGGCTGTTGTTTGGATTCCGATCGCAACGAAAAACCTCATAATCGGATCCGAACACCTGGCTGGAAAGCGTTCGCGAATCGAGCCACGTCTCGCATAGGACAATCACATCATAGCAACGATCCGATACAGCAAGCCGGTAGTCGTCAACATCAGAATTCATTCCACCGGCGTTTTGGAAGAAAATCACGATGTCCTGCTTGCGGCTTACAATCGAACGTCTGTTCTCCCTGGAAATCACGGAAGCATCAGGCAGCGAATGAACATTAACAATACCATGCGGATACTCGCCATAGTGACTGGGTTGGAAGACCAACCACGCTAAGAACCAAGACAGGAACTATAATGAACTCTGTTTAAAAATACTCTGTACTAAGGGGACTCCCTTCTGGAGCTCCACCAACCTCTAGGAGAACTCCTTCTGGGTTCTCCAAAATCTCAACTATGTAATTGGGGCTCCCGGAGATGAACCAGCCTGCGGCTGAAAATCTCCTAAATAGAGATAATGATAATAATAATAGGTTCGAAGACCCCCTCTCCACATCCGGCTACAGGTCCGGAACGACTATGGTGAGCGGCGGCAGCAAATGGCTGGACTGAGACGGAGGCGAGTACATAATTAATAGCGCAAATACGATGTCTGATGCCGATCCAAATTTCAGCACCTTGAATGCCGCCGAATCAACTCTCGTACCTCGGAGCCCGGAACGCGCCGTAGAAAGCCTCGTGGAAGCCCCTAATGCTTCCACGAGGCTTTCTACGGCGCGTTCCGGGCTCCGAGGTACGAGAGTTGATTCGGCGGCATTCAAGGTGCTGAAATTTGGATCGGCATCAGACATCGTATTTGCGCTATTAATTATGTACTCGCCTGTTCTAGCAAGTTGGAAGACCCCCAATCCACATCTAAAGTCAGGGCCAGGAGCAGGACGACTATGATGAACGCTGACAGGAATAAGCACGACTGAGTTAGAGGAACCGGGGGCTTCCATAAAGCTTTCCACGATGCGTCCCGGTTGCAAAACAGATTGGTTCATCCAGAGTTCAGAAGACATCGAGCTTACTACGTCGTTTTCAGAAGGCGAGGTTGGATGTTGCGTTAAGTATTCGCTGCTGGAAGCGGAAGGTGGCTCAGAAAAAGAAGGTTTTGGAACGTATCGATACTTGCCTGTAAGTACAGGCTGGAAGACCTCGTCACCGATTTCAAAACCAGGGCCAGGACGACTTCTGATGATTAGATCTACAAACAGCTCGACTGGTTCGGAGGGATCAGAGGCTTCTGAAGCGCTGTGTTGTTGCGTCCCAGATCCAGAGTTCTGAGAGTAGTGCCAAAGGTATTCTCAGGAGGATCTCAAAACAATTCCGAGGATCATTTCGAGGAAATTGTCAGGATAATTTGGAGGACCTTAGGCCTCCCTTAGCTCAGTCGGTAACGGCGCAGTTATAAAGCAAAACCATGCTTGAGGCGGCTAGGTTCAATTACCGGCTCAGTTTAGGTTTGTTTGGGGTTGAACATTTTTTCGACTTACCTGGACATACAGTATGCTTACACTAATGTAAAAATGGTACAGACTTAGAAAGAGCTGTCAATTAACAACTGCGGGAGTGCTCAAATAACACTAAGTTGAGGTCCGGCATGAAGTCCCAGTAAAAACGTAATAAAGCCACAGAAGAGGAAGGACATAATTAGAATAATTCTAAAGCGAATCCGAGGTTATTTGCAAGGGAATTCTAAGGATATATCTACGATAGTTTTAAAGGGGATTCTGTGCAATATATTGAAAGAAATTTAAGTGAATTCTTGTGAGTGTCATTAAGAATCAACTAAAAATGTAGAATGAATCCCTAGAGGAATCAGCAAACCAATTCTCTAGGGACTAACAGAAATATTCTAGATGTCGAACATCAAGCAGATTCTGAAATCGCGAACTTAAAAAAAGTATCTGAGACTTCCTTTTTAAATATTCTAGCCTTAGATTTTTTTAAATCTTGGACTTAGACAAATTCTTAAATTTGGTATAATTTTTAATTTGTCGAGATTTCAAACTTGAAAGATTTTTGACAAATTTAGGATCTTAGACTGAAGAAATGATCAGGAAGATGAGAGACCAGATTTATCCTTTTTCAAAATATGACTAGTTCTTTCGAGTTATACGACCATGTAAGCCCTCTATGGTTCACTGGCTCCTGGTACATGCATATTTTACGAAATTAAGGATAATGGAATTTTAAAGAAAAAATATTAGGCCTTAAAAAATTCAGCATCTTCTAAATGGATCCAATGCACACCGTGTCTTTAACTGAGTGAACTGAGCTATCAGAGGCTCCTAACAGATGTCTGAAAGTCGATCCCGAAACCTTGTGACAATGGATACGATCTAGGAGCTCGATTGTAGGTAGATAGGGCAGTCAAAGATTTCGTTTGGTGGGTGTTAGACAGCGATACTGATTTTTTTTTTTTGCAAATGATGGCCACCGTGAGATCTTTTTCTTTCTAATGAATAGTGATTTCAGTCGAATGTAGTAATCTTTAATTAGACAAGATGCATCAACGTAAGAACATTTACGAACTACTCCGACACTTAAAAATCATCAGCCGAGCATGCCATTTAGATCATTCGATGGGATCCAATTACCCAGTGAGATTGTCGAAATTGTACTTATTCTGCAGCTTCCGACGAATCAGCAATCCCTTGATAAGCTTCTTCCAGTTGCCGTAGACCCGCTTCTCGTACTTGTCGCGTTCTCGTTTCTCTTCTTGCTCCTGCTCCTGGTACCAGGCGTCGACCACCAGGTCCTTGAACTCCTCGCAAACTACGAACCCGTCGTACACTGGATGGCTGCATCCGCCGTGGAAATCGAACCCGGTCACGGCTTGAGCGCAATCGATGCCCAGCTTCTTGCAAATTCGGTTCAAACTGGGCACTGAAAAACAAAAATCGAATTGGTTTATTGCAAGGCGGTCATATTCCAGTGCAAGCCGAACATGTAACCAGTGTGCGAGACAGTTCAAAAGAAAATCTTCACTCTTCGCTGGGGAAGTTTTTTTATGGCATTAAAAACAAATGATTCATATGCAAATATGAAGCACACCGCGTTACTCCAGGATTAAAATACTCACATTGCAGATGAACGGTTTTCTTCGGGAGCATGCACGGTTTGAAAAGTTCCACGTTGCCGTAGGCATTCCTCGGAACGATGCCGTCTTCCGCCGTAGGAGGTTCGTAGTCCTGAGTTTGCCAGTAGCCGAAAAGTTCCAGCGGCTGAGCCGGAAGCATTTGACTGGAGGCCTGAAGAAAAAGTCAGAAGAGTCAAACTATTACCGTTTGGTTCGTGACCCGGAACAAACTTACCCGATCGTATTTGGGCCTGGCATTGACCACCTTGTACGCCGTTTCGAACATCTTCACCGTTCGCGCCTGCTTCAGCCAAATTTCCCGCGAGTGTAGCGTCTGTACGCATTCCCTCGCGTAAACGGGTTCATCCTTGATGAATCCAAGTGTCGGAGCATCCGGCGGGTAGATTCCTTCAAACTTCAGCAGGTGTCGCTTCAAAGCGTAGAGCGGATTATTCTTGAACTCGCTGATGGTCGTTGGTAGAGGCTGCTCCATCAGTGCCTGATTCAGAGAACGGTCCTCTTCGATATCCTTGGCCGTTCGCTTCCCCTTGAACTTGGCCAACGTTTCGTCCAACCACTCCTGCTCGATACGTAGCTTTTTGGTGCTGGTAGCATAGTTCGGACAGTAACGCGGGGAAACGTCTTTGATTGTGCCGTCGTTGTTCCATGCGAGGATGTAGACCAGTGGAGACGAAGCCTGCTTCACAATGTGTTCCAGGCAGTGGACCTTGCTACCCACGGCATCGAGTGGGACCCATTGTTCCTCCTCCTCGGCGTACACCTCGATCCACAGATTGACGCCGGATTTGAGCTTGGTTTTGTTGTCTGGATCTTTGCGAAATTCGTCGTCCGTTGAAAGCACTCGACGGTCCAGCCGTTTTTTGAGTTTCTTGTCAAAGATTTCCACCTTAAGAACTTTGGGACTTTCTTTACATTTGGATTTAGATTTTTCCACTGTCGGTGCTTTGACCGGTTCTGGTTTCGGTTTTGTAGCTTTCGGTGTTGCATTCTTCGTTTGCGTATTGCTTTGATTTACTTTTGAATTAATTGCTGTTGTATTAGAAGGTTTAACCCCTTTAGTGGATGTCTTCTTCTTATCGATAATATTCTTCACTGGTTTGTCTTTATAGTCCTTCCTGATCAAAATAGATGAAGTGGTGGAGGGTACTGCGACGACAGGTGGATTGCTATTTCGCTTTGGGTTATTAGGCTTTGAGATTTCGGAGAAACTCGGGGAACCGTTGGCTTGTTCTTGACGTTGCTTCCGTGTTTTTCTCGGCGAGAACACAGAAACTTCCTGCAGCTTGGGAATGGCAGCCTGAAAGTAATAAGAAACATGTTTAATTTTCCTACCGTTGCAACGTCGGTGTTTAAAAGGTTACTATCAATCTAATATTCATTCATTCTCGTATTTAGATGATATCTCCAGAATCAAATGTCCAATCTAGATTAAATTCTCACTCACCTTCGAAGTACTTGGTCCCGGAGATGGCTTGTCCTTCGAACTGTCGGCTTGACCTGTCGAGGGTGCCAGCTTGGATTTCTTACTCGGTACGCCGCCACAAGAATCGTCATTTCCGTCAAGTTGAGGAACTTTAAGGGCGCTCCCAGTTGCTGCCTTCCGCTTAGAACGCTCCTTCTTCGCTCCACTATTACCGTCATCGGCATAATCGTGGTCTTCCTTGGTTGATTTTTTCTTTGACCCCTTACTAATACTGGTGGCGGTTGATTTTGCTTCCGAGTCGATATCCTTTTTTGCTTTCTTTACCACTGTAACTTGCGTTTGCTGTAGTTCACTCTGTGGTAGCTTCTTCGGGACTACAGCCAAGGACATGACCATGCGACACTGGACGCCAATTGCGCGAAGTAGAATTATAAATATCAAAATGTAATCACGCTTACAGATGGCGGCCTTAGTCAACATCTGCAGGCGAAGTGATGTCTCCAATGACGGTAGCTTTTTGAAGCGACAGAACATTCGTCTTTCTTTGAGATCTACGATTTCTTTGAAAAATTTCGTAATCTGTTCAAAGTATTCTAGGTTTGTTCTATCCTTTGGATAACATTTTTGCGACGGAATCAACGTCAAAGCCAGCGATAATAGTTTAGAGTTGTTCAAAGCGCCGTTCACGAAGTTTCCGTGGGCAATGGCCATTACAATGTTAACTTTGTGGAGGACGATTTGATTCTCACGCTTCTCGCGATTCACAATCCGCTTGATACATGCTTCAATATCGATTTCATTGCTCCGTTTCTTCCTCTGAACACTTGTCGGTCCAACATCCAGTGTTATTTGTACGTCATGCAGAGGCTGGTTTTCCTCCTTCTCTTCTACTTCTTCCCAATCAGAATCGGAATCTTCTTCTTTCTTTTTCTTGAGCGGCTTTGATTTTCCTGTTTTTCTGGTTGGTGGTTTCTCCTCGTGGTGTTCCCCCAAAGCCAAGAGGTCTCCAATGTTCACGAGACCATCACTTGTAGATTCCTTCGCTTTGAACAAAGCCAGCTGTTCCTTGGCTTGGTCTATTTTTTCATTCAAGTGCTGAAGTCCTTCAAAATTAACAAAACTTTGCGATTTTTGATTAATTTTTGCGATTAACTTCTTGTTGGCCTGTCTTTTGGCATCTTCGCCTTGCTCGCTAGGTTCTCCTTGGTCGGATCCTTCTTCCTCAGAAGAATCCGAAAGCTGCACTCCAGCATTACAATCGAACTGAAGCACCTCTTCTGCAGGTTTCTCAGCAGGAGGTTCAATGAAAAAATCGGAATTCAGGTCCAATTGTTCCGGATTGACCAAATGCTCATCGCCGCTACTGTCGGAATCATCACCCTCCTGCTTGGTGCCAACTTTGCTGCCAGCTGAGGGGCGATACTTTTCGTACAATTTCTTACGCTCCGATGTTGATAGTTTCGGTTTTGGTGGAGCGCGTGATTTCCTAAAACGACACACAAAAGCAACCCTTTTCAGGTAACAAAATGTCATTTTTGGATGACCTTGAACACCCAAAAAAAAACTGGTTTCCATTCATACCTGGCATCTGTCGCCTGCCCCTTTTGCGCTTGGGAGCGTCTTCCACCACCCTTCGGTTCGCCACCTTCGTCGCTTTCACCATCATCTGATTCGGACGCACCGGAAGATGATCCTTTCCCCAAAGCCGTCTTTGAACCGCGTCCGGGTTTGTCATTTTCCGGTAGCCATTCATCTTCACTGGCGGAAAAATCCGCATCCTCTTCTTCACTGTCGGTCATAAATTTTTTACTCATATTTTGAGATTTTTGTGTCTTTCACCATACTAAATATCACGTTTTACAACCAAAATTATCGCAAATTTGCGCAAAATTCACAAAAAATTATACACTGACAGTCACAGTAAACAAAAAAAAAAGCTTGAAGCGTTGTGCTTGAGTGTCACACTGTCTTGTTGATAAACATGTGTCGAGCTCACTCGATGTCGATTACGGGCGATTCAAATATGGCGTCCACTCTTCAGGGGGAGGGGATCCAAGAAGTTGTGACAGCACGTGTTATCATTTTGAATCGGTTGCTTTGCAGTGACCCCAGCCGGTGCCGGTGCTGTAGTGAAAAGCGTGACGTTCACTTCCAAAAAACCATAATACATAAGGTTAAAACTTTATCACACAAACGTTCATGTAAAGTTCCATAACCATTTCAGTTAAAGTTTAGCATGGATTATAACACAAATTTAACCAATTTTTGTAAGGTCAAGTAATGGATCGCATTTATGCGGGATCTGTGTTGAGAATGGGTGCGATATCCAGGTGTGGAAGCTACACTGAACCAAAACACCCGCCGCCTACTGAATGATTTTTGCCTCACCCAAGCCCCATGCTTATAATCAGATGATTTTAAGAAGATCGTCATTCAATTCATATTTTGACAGAATCAAGTCAAATGTATGAATATAATTTAAAATCAGCGATATAATCATACATCAATCAAATCAAAATAGAACTAGATGTGAATGATTGACATACATAAACTTTTCAACTCATCAGTCTTGTAATGGAAGAAAATCAGATCGTATTTAAATGATGCCCATATCTATGTAGTTGGCTTAATAGAGGTATTTGCTTTTCAAAAATATTATTGAAATAAATAATTACACAACCATTTCAATCAGTTATAAGCATTACTAAGTAAAATGTTGTTAATTTGATAATAAGTACGAAAACAGAAACGATTCTTTTCTACTGTTGAGATGACATGAGTCATCTGTAATGAAATGGTTGTATAATTAAATGTTTCTATAATATTCAAATAAAATATATGATAATTATTACTATTGACATGTACTTTATTTAACACCTTACCTGAAAATATGTAAACAAATATGTAAAAGGTAAATGCATATTGTAATCTCCATTAAAAATGGAACCCAAATCCAAAAGTTCATGAGTTTTGGTACACTGGAACTATTTTAAATAAGTAAAAATTTCACTGCGCTCAGAAAATGCAGCTTTTTAGATGATGTATAAAAACCGATACATATTTTGAAATTAAAGAACCAAATGGTCGTAAATTACGTTTGACTTCGATATCGATGATCATCCCCGTTAAAGAAATTATTCAATCAATTACCTCAGCATAATCTTGGTTGTGATGTACAACGTGTGGAGAACTTAATACATCCTGCGTCTCATTGGATCCAATACTGCCGCTTGGTTCAGCATTACATATTACCATCGTGTCACAAGAACCATCTTCTTCAGTACAACCATCTCCTTCTTCTGGATCTTCTGATGATGTTCTGGGGTCCAAGATACCGGGTTCAGGCGGAACCACTTCTGAGAAAGTCATGAGATTTACTTCCTGGCGCGGCAGAGCATGTTCGCCTGAAGTTGATTGATTGATTTATCTTTATTAAGGAGGCTTTCAGCCTGAGACGAACCACTCCAAATATGCCTGAAGTTGACGGGTTTAGGATGCTAACCTTGTTCATCATTGATGTCGTGATCTGGAACACGTAAACGCTCGACTCTAACGGTGGTATGCAGGACTCATCCGGAGCAATTTGCTGCGTTAAAAAAGAAAATTTATTCGAACTACAAGTTTTTTTTTTTCAATCGATCTTAATAATGTTTTATTTTGATATAATAAATTATAACTATACAATATATAATTATCAAATTCAGGCTAGGTCTTAATTGTCAAATTAGCTTTATCTCGTTAATAAATCAGGTAAAACCTGTTATTCGTGTGTAGAGCAATTGTTGGCTCCCTTGGACTATTTTCGGCAACTGAAATTTAAACGTTAATTCCAGCTCGGATTCCAGCGAATAATCTCATCAGACATACTTTTAAATGCATTGAAACGGTTCTTAGTGAATCAGTTGCAATTGTTTTTACATTTTAACGACTAAGCCATCATGTCAGGTTTTTCACAGAATAAACACATTCGCGCAGTCACAATACTGTTTGTTCGCCACCATTTGCTAACTGATATGAAGAATGACCGAAAGATGATAAACCTGAAATAGAATGATTTTCATAGAGGGGCTATGAAGAAATATATTCATTTTGGTTCATGATGAAAAACATACGCTTAATGTGCCTGTTAATATGTGACTGATTATCGGATGACATAGAAAAAACATTATTTTGAAATGTAAACAAAAATAACCTATTGCTGATCATAAAATCATTCGACTTGATTGGCATTCAATCTCAGGAATCATACGTTTTGCTTGACGCTGAATGAGATTTCATTCAACGGGCGGTGGGTGTTTTGGTTCAGTGTACCTTCCTGCACAATCACTGATGGTGGTAAGCTCCAACTCGGATTAAATTTTAATACCGTCCCTGTTTGCAAGATATGCAAAGCGTTTGCTTAGAGTCGCGTTGAATAACTCTGATATCGACATCAAAGCAGCCGGATATTCTTGGTCGGGATTTAATCCGAGGATTATACCGGTTACCACCATGAATGCCATTAAATTCAATCTACACGGCCACTGAGAACAACCCAAATGTTAGTTCAGTTCACTCAATCAAAAGCAGAGCAGGATGAGTAAATTTGCTTCATGTTTTCCTGTGGAAAACCTCAAAATTCTGCCGGAAAATTTACGAAAATTTTACTTAGTCTAGAAGTAGTACATGGTGAATGAGAACGACCCAAACTTGAGTTTAGTTCACTCATAATTGCCAAATGGGCAGGAACTTTGCGATGAGTAAATTAGCCTCATGGTTTCCTGTGGTAAACCTCAAAAATTGACGAGGAGTAGTACCAACAATCAATACGAAACTATCGATTTTAAATTGGCTCACTACTTGACTAGCCTATTGGTCCCAAGCAAACGGTACCCCATTCTAGTCGAAATTCTAGTACTACGCAATGTTTGTTTTGATTCGCTATGAAAGTTTGACAGATAAAATGAGGGGTGATTGGTTTTTCCTATGTTTCTCGAGGGGTGAATCGATTAGCTTGGGACCGAAGAGAGTACCAGATCATATATATAGGTTAAAACAAAACGTCAGCTATTGTTCACGGCGAATGAGAACGACTCAAATTTGAGTTTAGTTCACTCATAATCGCCAAAAGTGCAGGAACGCAGCGATGAGTTAAATTTGTCTCATGGTTTCCTGTGGAAAACCTAAAAAATCTGCCGGAAAATGAGGAAATTGACGAAAATTTTATTCAGTCTCGGAGTAGTACCAATAGACTGAGTGAATCCAATCTTTACTTTTCTCAAATTCGGGAATTTTTCCCTGGAAAATCCTGGAAAAACCTGGGAAAACATGAGGCAAATTAACTCATCGCTGAGTTCCTGCACTTTTGGCGATTATGAGTGAACTAAACTCAAATTTGAGTCGTTCTCATTCGCCGTGTATATAGGTTAAAACAAAACGTCAGCTATTGTTGGTAAACAAACCGACAGCATTCCCCCATGCACTCAAAAAAATAACTACCCACAAATCTAAAAAACCTACTACTGCGTGCACTTCCATTCTATTACCGAGAACCATGATTTTTCGATAAATTCCTTCCACGCTATTGGTCCTGACCTTTGGGTCCATGGTACCAACAACCAATACGAAACTAACGATTTTAAATTGGCTCACCACTTTAGTAGCCTATTGGTCCCAAGCAAACGATTAACGTACCCTATTCTAGTTGAAATTCTATTACTACACTATGTTTGTTTTGATTCGCTATGAAAGTTTGACAGATAACATCAGGGGTGTGTGGATTCATGCAGAACATGCAGGGGTGAGTGAAATAGCTTGGGACTGCTTGGGACCGTTGTTCTGGTACTGAGTGAGCCAAAAATAATAATGATTTTCTTCGGGACCCAGTGGTCTTAGAGTTACCTCTATGCTACTACTGGATTGTACTAGCATTTTCACCAAATGTATTTGGTTCTATCGCTTTCACTCTACTCACAACTGAAATGCATAAAAAAATGACAAAATGATACACTCTTTGCTCACTGTCAAAGAATCATTGTACACAAAATCAACTTTGTTCAAATCAAAACAAAAAAAAACTAACCCATCTGGTGGATGATGGCACAAGCTTCCAAGAAAATTCTATTACAGTGAACCACATTATTTTAATGGATTTCTGCGTAAGTTAGTCGTCTGTCACTTCGTTTGTGGTACCAGAGCTGAGCCAAAAAGTTGAGCAAGTTTCTTCGGGACCTTCTAGTTTTAGAGTTACCTCTATGATATTATAGCCTTATACCACAGACAAACATACATAACACTCACAATCACATTCATCGCAAATAATGTTTTAGTTGGGAATGTGCTTGCATTTGTCATGGTGGAGCCACTGAATCATTGAGCAAGCCACCACATTTTGAACTTATCAGTGATGCCAGTTGTTTTCCACGTCTAGTTAGTAGATGTCAGCTCTTGAAAATGATAAGTGGTCAAGGCATTCCACTGGAGACACATACCACATCTGACGAATACAGAAAAAAAAGTTGTCGGATATTACATCAAAACTGCTGCACAGTAGTCATTCCGTTCCTAATATTACGTTGTATGATGTACGCAGAATTCAAGAACAAATCATGTTGATGACTGTAATATTCTATCAACTTTAACCAGTTATTGATGTTTGATACTTCACTATGAAATAGAGATGAACTAGCCTATGGCTAAAAATATCTTAAATAAAGATTAAAAAAAAAAAACATAACCATGAATATCATTGATTGATACATATTATTTTTTCTCCTGTGTACACATTGAAGTGATGAGCGTTGGTAGCAAGGGCACTAATAAGTGGTACATTACCTCGTTTAAAAACTTGTTTCCAGCAAAAGAAAAAGCACACTAAACCAACAAAACAAATCCCTATAACTAGTATGTTTATTTGGAAGGCTCAATCGCGTTAGCTTTACGGAGCCGATAGTTCATTGTTCTTTGTTTGTAACA